GCGCTCGAGAACGAGAACAGCATATAAAAATATGCGCGTTATACCATTCAATATTTTGTGCATCTGGTACGGCTAACGACAAGCATGGCTGAGCCAGGGAAACTTTCAATTCAGCCATGCTTAATATAAAGTGCAGTGCTTATTTGGTTCAGATGCTGTGCTTCTAATGCATGAACTGTACTTAATTCAGAAATTTTCTTAAAACTAAGAATGTTGATATGATAAGTGATATCACCTGATGTGCACAAATTAGTCTCAAAAAGTTTTTTGTTCTCTTGGTCATACATAAAAATATTCCTTGAAATTTGAATTTCTCTATCTCTGTGGACGTGTGTGGGAGTGTGATCCCCCCAAATAATTCTAAGTATTAAAGTGAGTTGGTCAAAATGTTTGTTATTGTTGATTAGTGGAATAAATTGTGTTAACAATGAAGGCTGTGAAGCACAGTTAATGCCTAACTGCTGTAAGATTTAGTGCTGTTAAACCAACTATAGATGTAATTTGATGACAGTGTTTTCAGAGAAAATATTTCTCCCCCGGCCTATGATCCAATAAAGGCTAGAATTATTTTCAGGTCTGATGTTAATGAAGTAATATTATTTTTAATGTTTATTAACAGCATGCTTTTGAAGCGATTCGAGAAGTGAACGAACATACAGCCCCTAAGTTGGACTTATATTATGTCTTTATAATAGAATATTTCTTCATACTCTTCCTCGGAAATTGCGTCCACTTGTTTTAAATTAAATTAATTCTGAACTAACAAGTATGACTTCTGAGGGCAAGTTCGTCTTTGTGTCCTTACCATTTGTAACAGTTTCTACCTACAGAAAGCAATAAATTTGTGACTTTTATTAGCGATAGTTAGCAAAGTTTTTATTGCCAATGGTGATAGTTACAGAAAAATGATTTTAATACCTGTTCGACAGGCACTGCAGCTTCGTTTGGCGAGCTTTTGCCCGGTGGAGATAAAGCACTGGCAATCCTCGGTCCCATTACGATTATCCGGGAATCCACCATAGTTGTGTCATCATCCTGCGGGAGGTTTTGGGTTTCCGTCTGATCAGCATGTTGTTGTGGCTCACGATCAGACAAAGAAATACTTGTGTGTTCACTTGCGATTTGTATTCGAGGTGCTTTACTACCATACCGATAAACAATGACTAGGCTTTTTACCTGTCCACGCCAAGGGTCTCCGAAAACAGCATTGGTGGCTTCGACTTCAAGGGTCCTGCCGTTTTTGACAAGTTTTCGAACTTTATCTGTAACATCAACTGGCCCGTATGCAGCTCCCAAGATCGTGAGGGTGCAGGGATCGGCTGAATAGTTAATTTTTTTTCTCTTAGAGTATAGTATCTCAAATTGGTGGTTTTCCTTGACGACGGTGATTGATGGGTGCTCTTTTCCATACTGATATACAATAACTAACGTTTTCGTATATGGCGGCCAACCATCTTCAAATGTTTTATTATCAGCGACTGCGATCAAGGAACGATTACCTTCACCAGTCACCAGTCCCTTCACTTTTTCCGTCACGCATTTCAGCCCATATGCAGCGCCAAGAATCGTAAGAGGAGGAGGTGGGGGTGCTGTGAAATGCATTTGATCTCCTTCAACAGCAATATTAAGCATGAAATTATCACCGTATTCGTAGACAACAACAAGAGTTTTTTTCGTACCCAGCCCCCCATCTCCCCAAACTGCATTGGAAGCCACTTTATCGAACACTTGATTAGCTGCCAAGAAGGATTGAGCAACTGAGGTGACATCCGAAAGGCCATAAGCAGCACCAAGAATATTTAGTTTTAATGTAGATTCATCTTTTCTGGATACGGTCGTACCTGCTGTAGTCCGTGACAGAGAACTGAGTTTCTTATTCATCCAAGCACTGACAGTAGTAGACGGCGGAGTGATTTCTAGGGTTTCGCCCTCCTCGACAACCTGTAACTGTGCACTATTACTGCCATACTTGTAAACAACTACGAGGCTTTTTTTCACTCCATACCAAGAGTCATCAAAAAAGTCGTCGCTGGCTTTGACGGAGAGTTTTCGGTCTTTGCGCAAGCTTCTTATTTTCTCAGTAACATCGGCTCTTCCATAGGCTGCCCCACAAATGACAAGGTCGTTTTTAGAGAACATCACGGTTTCTAAAAGAAACGTAAGGAATTTAACAAGAAGCATCTCTGAAACAGGGCGCCGAAGGCTCGAGGAAATTGTTAAGGTTACAGGACACCCTTTTTGGCGTTTTGCGGAAAATCGCTACTGCGCGCCCAATATCAGTGCGATTTTCACCAAATTTTCACCAATTGTTCTCCAGTGCATCCAAAATATGGTAAAATTGTAAAATTAACAAACAATAAAATAATGTAAGAATTATTCAGGAAAATCTTAAATCGCGGTACCGTTACGCTTTTGAGTTGTGCTCCTGCCGGTTTTAAGTTATATTTATGAAAATATCATTTTTATACACTAAAATAGTTGTTCTAAAAAATTTAGTTCGGAAATTTTTTTATTTCGTCATTCCGCTGATATGGCGATTTCTTTGACGACTGCAATATATTTCTGAATTGTTTGAGTGAATTGTTCTTTATTATTAAAATATCCAAAATTTAAAAAAAGCCGAACACAATTTTGAAACTCACGTCTTTAACTATGTCCTGTGAAAATTTGAGAAAAATTGGTTAAAATCCGCAGGAGAACAATTCGTTTAAAAATCAGTAATTACCGTAAAATTCTTCGTGAGAAAATTGAATTTGAATATTACATTTTCAATGTTTTTCTTATTGCAGCGAAATGTATTTTATTAAATAACTCTGCGAGTTTTCAACATTTTTCGTTCAAACTTGGTCAGATAGTAGAACTAGTCTAATGCTTTCATGGAAACGAATAAAAAATTTTAAGCAAAATTAACACTCAAAGGTGTTCTGTAACCTTAATTAATCGATGCACGCAGTGCTCAGAATTAAACAATTAAAAGTAAAATTTAATAACTTATTTACCTTGTTCCCGTATCAACGCGAGTTCTAAAGATTGAGGAAAATACAGTCATTTTCATTTACAGGGCTGTTTATATGGAGGAAGCTACACTGTGGGTCGGGTTCCCCCAGTTAGCCGAGGTAGCTCGCTTTGCTGAGACTGTGTTTACACATGAGACTTTTGAGGCGGGCGGGCTCACCAAAACAAAAACCACCGGGCTCACTGCTATAAATAATATTTTCTAACAAACCTTAAACTTGCACTTTTGCGAGCAACTTTCACGGTTACTATATAACCCACAAAATCGTTCACAGAGAACTTTTAAGATCGAAATCTGATGAGAAAATCTTGTTTACAACAATATTTCTTGTGAACAAAGCAATAACACTTGGCCTGATTAAGCCAGCCAGTCCTGGTCATTGCGTTTGTATAGAAAATTCTCCACCCAGGGCACCCTAGATCTCGGGTCAGTCGATTCTCATATAAACGCTAAATGAAATGTAATAGGACATAATAACAAAAGCAAGATTTCGCATAAACCAGGCCAGCTTGGGTAACCGCACTGGCTAGCCCCATCTCTCATAAGGGCATTTGATATGTTTTAATCTGATCATGCAGCCAAACACATCTCCAATTACACAGTACAACTCAAGTTGTAATGTTGCATGCAACAGTTTTAAGCCAAGTTTCCATATGGTTGTAAAAGTCATAAAAGATAAAGTTACGATCTTTCTCATTCGCCAGATTATAATAGTTTTTACCTGTAAACCACATTTAAATCATGATATACATTGCATGGTACATTAATCTGATGCGAGCAAATTTAACCAAAGCCATCAAGCGCTAACAAACCGTTAAATACGTATTTTAGTCAAGGAGAAATTTGATTTGAAGAACATTCCATCATTGGATATTTGATTTAATTTCATTTATCTTTAAAGTGGAAGTCAAGTCCGTTCTGTGCATCGGTTCTGCCATATGTTCTGCTCATAGCAATGTTGAGGACCCTCTATACATTGCCCAAATTTCGAATGTTTTGAATTTTTCTGAACATAAACTCTATTTCATATTCATTTAGAAGCATAGCGAACCAAAATGGTGTTAGATATTCAAACAGCACATCATATTTTAAAAAATAGGTACGCGCTGCGTACATGTGGGTAGCCTGCATTGTTGTTAAAGCTGGAGTAATACGAGCAACAAAATTGCTGCAACTTGTAACAAAATCTGATTTCAACGCATTTTAAGTAGAAATGTTGACAAAATATTTCAATTAACATGCGCAGAAATCAGATTTTGTTGCAAGTTGCAGCAATTTTGTTGCCCATATTTGTATATTACTCCACCTTAATCGCTATTGTCAAATTCTGAATTTACTGAAAGAAAGTATTAAGTAAATTGGACACAGTTCAAATATTATACACACATTTAATCACATACTGATAATCAGATATGACAAAAATACGTAAACGACTGTTACGTGCATTTTCAATAAGCATAAACAGATATAAGAAGTTACAAAGTATTTTAATGTGTCAAAAATAATTTGCACACTGAACAGACAGACAGAACAATGACTTTAATATGTATATACGAAACAAAATACTTAATACACGCCGAAATACAGACAGTATGAAGAACACTTATCACAATTACAAGAACAGTTCTTGTTCAAGGACAGCATACATCAAAGACAAAGGATCAGGTTTACAGGCTGCTTATACAATTTTCGTGAAGTTTGAGTTTCAAGGATAGTCCATGCAAAGATCTAAGGTCTAAGGACGATGTTTTCCGGCGGAGTTGAAAAAGATCGACATATTCTTTATTTAGTGATGATTAAATTAATTAAACAACGACATAATCGATCCCATATATATTGGTAATTACATTCAACTTGCTTTCAATATTCGACAAATATATCCCAAAGACTTCGTGCGCTAATATTCCACTGCCCGATCCTTGTGTAAACCGTGCTTGGCTTTCTATTTGCCTTAATTTACAAATTCGACCGGCGCACTCGAAAACCGTGCAGACCTAACCCGATTCTAATGACGTGGCCCTACAACCATTATGTAAGCAACGACATACTCGATTCTATATATATGTTCGTCAACATTCCTTTTGATATAGACTATGTCCATTCCTTCGATATAAATATGTTCAATCGTCGCGCGCTATATCATTAATTACTATATTTTTCTAAGGGACGGACCATTTGATTTTTGATTGGGGGGGGGGGTAGAATCCCAAAAAAAATATCGGGCAAGCAATTCGAACTTAAAAAAAATATCGTGCAAGAATAAACGGACGAAAAAAAATATCGAGCAAGACTTTCGAGTGGTAATCCTTATTTGCCATTCGGTGCATTTCCGCGTGTAGCCCAGGGCCGTATGTAGCAACCGGGGGGACTGCAGGGTCCAGGAAATGGCATTTCAGAGACTCTAAATTTAAAAATTTCCCCAGGCCTTCGGCCCTCGCTTTCAGCTCCCCCCAATCAAAAAGAGCTTCCTACGGCCCTGTAGCCTAAATAATGGGAGGACTAGTATAATTCCAAAAATGGTTGTTCTTTATTTCTTTACTCCGACCCCTATGATGAACATGTACGTAAAAAACTAGGAAAACTACGATTAAATCACGGCCGTAGAAACTAAAATAGGTGAAATTTTTATGGGACACAATCAAAGGCGAGGATATAAGAGCGAGAGATTGAAATTGAGTAGGAATAGCGTACAGGGGTATGCGTTTCGACCTAACAGTTTTCTTCAGCAGGGTTTTTTAAGAGGGGGGTGCATGTAGATATAATTTGAAGAGGAGACGGAAGGAGAGTTTATAGGAGTTCGGAAAATAATGTGAGACCAAGAGGAAAACAAATTATTACGAAATAACTGAAAATAACCAATTACACAGTGAAAGGATGTAACTACTATACATGTTATTAGTCAAGTTATCCTACCAAAGGTCTTGTTGTTTGCGCGACATTCCAACACTACGCACTTTATTGTTCATCGTTCGTAT